GGCAACTCACCTTAAAAGAACAACAGTTCCAGAACAAGTTAGTAGCCATTTTTTCCTCTTCATGTGATTGCATATGTCCATTCCTCTTCAGGAGACTCAAAAAGTCTGCTATAGCCACTTGAGCTAGAAAAGCTGCTGAAGTTGCTCGGGATTTTGTCAAGTGTGTGCCATCACTATACCTGGCAAGGTTATATTGGTGATGTCATAGCAATCCCCATGCAAGAGGAAATACATGACGAACAGCTGAGATGAGTATCAAAGCAATCTAGTCTTGTCCAAGTAACAATGCCCTTCTGACATCTAAAGTATGGAGTTGCTCCTCATCTTTATGAGGATGAGGTTTAGGGAAAAAAACTGGTAAGTATATCGCTGATAAGTCAAAAATTTTGGATGCTGGCCTAAGTACACTTTGTCTTTCTGAAAGACTGTGTAGGAGGGGTCAGCTACAAAGACTCAATTTCCCCATCCTCCTCACAGAGGTAACTGCTACCAAAAATGCCCCTTTCATGGATAGATGAAGAGCAGGTAGCCACTGGTTCAAAGGGTGGACCCATCAACCTTGCTGATATGAGATTCAAAACCCGGGTAGGGAAAGGATGTGTCTCTTGGTGATATAATCTGTCCAGACCCTTTAAGATCCTAATTAACGTAGGATTGGAAAATACTGAGTGACTTGTGACTGAAGGGAAGAAGCAGAGATAGCTGCCAAATGAACTCTGATAGAACTATCAGATAAGTCTGGCTGTTTCAGGTGGAACAAATAGTCCAGAACATGTATAAAAGTGTAGACTGGCAAAATCTCTTTTCCTTAAGACCATGAGGAGAACTGCTTCCATTTTAGCAAGTAAGTGCACCTAGTCAAAGACTCTCTCTTATTCAGGAGAAAGTTTGTTTTGCACAGTCTCTAAAGAGACCACCTCCTGAGACATTAACCATGGAGCATCTAGGCTGGGAGATGAAGAGCATCAGGGTTGGAATCAAGCAGGCGACCGTGGTCCTGTGAGATCAGGTCTGATTCTGGAGGAAGTGTCAAGGGAGGCCTGGTGGAGAGAGACAGCAAAGTAGAGAACCAATGCTGATTAGACAACACCAGTGCTGTGAGGATTATGTGAACATGATCCTGCTCAACCTTGAGCAATGTTCTGGGAAAGCGTGGAATAGAAGGGTAAGCATACAGCAGTTTGTCTTTCCAGAATATGAGGAAGGCATCTGCGAGAGATCCCTGACTGTGACCTGCTCTGTGGGGGGAGGGATAGCTCAGTGGTTTGAGCATTGGCCCGCTAAACCCAGGGTTGTGAGTTCAATCCTTGAAGGGGCCATTTAGGGATCTGGGGCAAAAATTGGGGATTGGTCCTGCTTTGAGCAGGGGGTTGGACTAGATGACCTCCTGAGGTTCCTGATTCTTGGACAGAAGAGTCAGCAATTCCAGTTGTGGCAAGCAGGAAACAGGGCTACGTGAGGCCCCACATATGACTGAAAAATTAGTCTTATAGCAGGCCTGTGAGATCACTCACGTTCTCTGCTGAAAGACCTGCTCAAGTGGTCTGCCAAACTGTTCTCAATCTCTGGTGGGGAGATGCATTGAGGTGAATCCTGCTGGTGATACAAATCTCCCAAAGCTATATCACTTTTTCACGGAGATGATCTGACATCACCCTCCACGTCTGTTCACAGTGAACATTGCTGCTGAGTTGTCTGGGAGGAGGAAAGCCCAACGTGGAGATGAATGGCCCTCAACTTTCACACATTTATGTGGAGAACTAAATCTTGTTGTGAACAGACACCTTGAGTCTTCGGATTTCCTAGGTCGATGGTTTTCAACCTTTCCACACTACTGTACCCTTTGCAGGAGTCTGATTTGTCTAGTGTACCCCTACTTTCACCTCACTTAAAAATACTTGCTTACAAAATCAGACACAAAAATACAAAAGTGTCACAGCACACTATTACTGAAAAATTGCTTACTTTCTCCTTTTTACTATATAATTATAAAATAAATCAACTGGAATATAAATATTGTATTTACATTTCAGTGTATAGTATATAGAGCAATATAATCAAATCACTGTCTGTATGAAAGTTTAGTTTGTACTGACTTCACTAGTGCTCTGTTGTAAAACTAGGCAAATATCTAGATGAGTTGATGTACCCCCTAGAAGAACTCTGCGTACCCACAGGGGTACACGCACCACTTGATGAGAACCATTGCCCCAGGGGAGCCCCCCGCCCCAACCTAGAGAAGAAACATCCATAACCAGAATCAATGCATGTAGGGGAGTAGCAAAGAAACTCCAATACACATATTGGTTGGATCCATCCACCAATCCAAAGAGGCTAACATTCCTGTAGGCACTCAAGCCAGCATGTCTAATGGGTGGCAGGTTGGGGAGCAGACTGAGCTTACTCATCTCTGCACGATCGTGAAATGAAGTCTGTCATGCCCAAATATATATGTGCAGGAAGCTATATGCTCCACAAGTCTGAGACAGTTCCTTACAGTCATGACTGGATGGGCTTTTAGATCTGAAGAAATGGCTAACATTATCTGAAATCTGGTTTTCAGGACTGCTCCTTTGAAGTCGATCATCTGGAGACTGACTTCTCATTGGTCAGCAAATCCAAAACTCTGAAGAGGGACCGGATCTTGGCCATACTTCATTTTACCTGTCTCTTGGGCTAATCCTTTACTAATTGGGCTAATCCAGGTGTGGAAGTACTTGTATCCGTTTTCTTTAGAAACACAGCCACCACCACCACTACGCGTTTTGTAATTACTCACAGGGCCGTGTATAGATCAAATGGTAGGAATGTAAACTGATCCTGGGTGTTAACTAGAAATTTTAGAAATCTCGTGCGGCTTTGACAGATAGCCACATGAAAATATGCATCACTCAAGTCAAGGGCAGTGTACTAGTCACTGGGATCAAGGGAGGGAATAATGGAGACTAGAGTGACCATACAAAACCTTATTTTCTTTATACGTTTATTCAGCTCTTGCAGATCTTATATGGCTCCGAGACCCTCCTGTGCCTTTGGAATCAGGAAGTAGTGTGAATAAAACCCCTTCCCTTTGTGCAGGAGGAACCTCATCTGTAGCTCCTAAATAGAAAAGAGACTTCATCTCTTGAAAGAGGACAACCTTGTGAGAGTGGGTTTTTGAAGAGAGATGAGGAAGGGGGGGGAACTGAAATAAACTGAAGAGTGTATCCAAGTTTCATAGGGCTTGGAACCCATTGATCTGTGGTAATATGCGCCCAAGCACACAGGAAGTTGGACAACCAGCTGGAAAAAATGGGTGGGAGAAACTGGTGTAACGCAGACTGGTAAACTGCCCTCAATATGGCAATCAAATAGACTACTTGGCATTTCCAGGCTGCCTGGAAACAGTCGGAGAGGAAGAAAAATGCAGATTCCTCCTCCTGTGATTCTTCCCCATCTTTCTGGACTGGTCAGAATGTCTAGCCATGAATAGGTGACAAAGCTGGAATGACTGAGGGAGGAACGGTTTCTTTTTATGGTATGGGGTGTAAATTCCTGAAGACTTCAACTTAGCCCTCAAGTCCCTCAGACTGTGAAGTTTCTCATCAGTGTGCGGCAAAAGAAGAGTTGGACCGTCAAAGGGTAGACCATGTATAATATGCTGGCCCTCCTGTGGAAAAACCAACAATTAGAGCCATGAGCACCTGTGCATCACTACTGTAGATGTCATGGCTCTGATTGCAGTATCTGCCCCATCCAGTGCAGCCTGAAGAGACGTCCTGGCAGCCATATTGCCCTCTTTCAGTACTGCCAGAAACTCCTGTCTGGCATCCTCTGGCAATTTTTACATGCATTTAAGGACATCATCTCAGAAGGAGAAATCGTATGTAGTCATCAGGGCTTGCTGGTTCACAATATAACACTGCAGGCCAGCAGTGCAATACATTTTTCCACCTAAAAGATCTAATTTCTTTGCCTCCCTTTGGAGTGGAAGAAGGCTGTCCTTGACATTCCTTTCATTTAGTGCCAAAACCACCAAGGACCCCGGGAAGGGCTGTGTGTAGAAATGTTCAAATCCCCAGGAAGGAACATGGTATCTCCACTCAGCCCTCTTAGCTATTGGAGGCAAGGATGATAGCATTTGCCACAATACCTTTGTGGTCTCCAATATGGTCTCACTTATAGGGAGCATCAGAATGAAAGTCCTATCAACCCCAATACATCACTCACCTATGAGAGGACAGCAGCAATGTTTTATCAGGAAAATAAGTGCATAAGCTCTGCTAAGAGACGTTCTTGTTCCACAATATGACCAACTATGGCAGTAACTGAGACATAGCAACAAGAGGAAGAGCACAATGAAATCACATTGAGGAGAGCTCACCATTTATATTACACAAAATAAAGGTGCAATTAGACTTCAGTATGCCATCATGTGACCTATTTGGCACGCTAGGACAGAAGACCTCTCTCTTGAGAAAACTACCCATTATGGTGCCCATCTATAATCATTTTCAGACCCATCCTTCATATTTTTGCATGTTAGTAGCTGGAGACCCAAGACTTAGATTTAGGGGTGAAAGAATATACTGAAGAAGTAAAGGGTCAGGATTCTTAAGGATGCATTAGAACACAAAGTGATACTGAAGACTTCTGCCAGCCATGCCACTAAAATAGCCACTTATTTTCCCAGTACTTAACACACACGAATCTAGTTTACTTTCCCCCTTCAAGAAAATATTTTGTTCTCTAAAATCTTGCACAGTATCAAAGACAGAATGTCCTCAAATGAGGGGGAAAACTATTCTATAAATTCAATTTAATTTACTGACAAAACTAGAGATGTTTTTATGTCAAATGCAAAGTTGAGAAATATAATACAAATTAAGTTGAAAACAAAATACAGTGCAGCCATTACTGAAATGCTACTGTTTTCACTGTTAATGAAAGACTCTTGTCTTAAAAACAGTATTCATAAATTCAATTATTTTTCCAAGCAAAAAATGACAACGTAAACATACTCTACCACTGTGTAATTCTACTCCATAGAATTCAAGGGTTCGTGCTATGTTTATATAGCAGGATTCTGCTTCAGATTGCTTGAGACCACTAAAGGAAAAAACAAAAAAGTTATTAATTTTAACTACATTAAGTTAGAACAAGAAATTAAGCTTACTGACTTGACTATTTTAACTTATTACAAATGTTTCTTTTCAAAGCAGAAGAATCCTGTAGTCTGGAGGCCGACAGATTAATCATACCTGCAAATACCACAGAAGCAGCTAAAAGATTCAGTATTTTAGCTCCCTCTAGACTCCTCCTATATAATCCAGGGAATTGTATCACAGTCCCATCTGAGCATAAGAATGGCCATACTGGGTCAGACCAAAGGTCCATCTAGCCCACTATCCTGTCTTCCAACAGTGGCCAGTGCCAGGTGCCCCAGAGGGAATGAACAGAACAGGTAATCATCAAGTGATCCACCATTCCCTTTCACTCATTCCCAGCTTCTGGAAAACAGAAGCAACTTTCAAAGTCTGAACCTTTAAATAACTAAAAACATAGAGCATAACTATTCACAGGGGTGGAAAAGATTTCAGACCAATTACTATTCTCACACAGTCATGCTTGTGCTCCAGTCTGGTGATTAACTGAAAGTAGCAAGCAGCCTACCCCAAAGAATAAGCAGAGGAAGAGCAGAATGAAAGGAAGACAATTAAAGAAAAGCAGACTGTAAAACTCAGCAACCAAAAAAGCAAGATCTGAAGAAATTACATCTACTTTAGTGTTTTATGAATTAAAAAAGAAATGGTCAGAAAGCCACTCTGCAAATTTCCTCATAAAACCTTCTATTTGTTTTTGCCAGAGATGTGGTAACAGACCTTGATGAATGTGCTGCAAGATTTGGAAGAGGTTTTCCCCCAGTCTTCTTGTAAGCTTCTTCATTTGCTAACCTGAACTACTGGGATATGTTGGCTTTGAAGCTTTCACACCTTTGTTCTTCCCAGCATAGGAGAGGAACAAGACATGAAATTTCCTAATTGGAAATAATTTGATCTGTAGGTATCAGGTGTCACCATCTGACCTTCTGAAACTCAATGCATTTAAGGCAAAACAAACTAAGAGTTGCATCCTGGTAAAGGTTTCAGAGTAGCAGCCGTGTTAGTCTATATCCGCAAAAAGAACAGGAGTACTTGTGGCACCCTAGAGACTAACGAATTTATTTGAGCATAAGCTTTCGTGGGCTATAGCCCACTTCATCGAAAAGAAGTATAATGATGAAGGAAGCCAAGTCCAACTTAGTTACTGCCCTAAAGGATCTAGGAATGAGAGGAGAAAAAGCCAACTATTTGCCAGATGAACTTCTGAAGGCAGTTGAGTGAGGTACCTTGATTTGAGAGTCCTGAGGCTAATGAAGCTATCGAATGACCTGGAATCAGGAACTGTAAGAAACTGACATGGCCTTACAGCTATAGTAAGAAAACCAGGTTATGAAGACTTTCCAGATGCAGTAGTAACTCTAGATCAGGGGTTCTCAAACTTCATTGCACCGCAACCCCCTTCTGAAAACAAAAATTTCTACATGATCGGGGGGGTGGGGGGGTGGGAGGGGCCTGAGCCTGCACAAGCCCTGCCGCCTCAGGCACGGGGCCAAAGCCTGAGTCCAAGCCCAGGGCGCCTGGCCTGCACAAGCCCTGCCGCCTCAGGCACGGGGGCCAAAGCCTGAGTCCAAGCCCCGCTGCCCTGGGCGGGGGGACCGAAACCCTTGGACTTCAGTCCCATGCCCCAGAAAGTCTAACACCAGCCCTGGCAACCCCATTAAAACGGGGTCATGACTCACTTTGGAATCCTGACCCACAGTTTGAGAACAGCTGCTCTAAATGTAAAATCCTTCCTAAATCATAGTATCATAGAATATCAGGGTTGGAGGGGACCTCAGGAGGTCATCTAGTCCAACCCCCTGCTCAAAGCAGGACCAATTCCCAATTTTTGCCCCAGATCCCTAAATGGCCCCCTCAAGGATTGAACTCACAACCCTGGGTTTAGGAGGCCAATGCACAAACCACTGAGCTATCCCTCCCCCTGAATTAAAGGAAGCCATCTAGCAGATGCTCAGTATAAACCCTCACATCCATTCTCTCAAATTCCATGCAATGAAATATGTCCGTTAGTCTGTCTGGAAGTGGCCACTACACTGACCACTGCAACAACAGATCTTTAGCAGGACTTAAAGACATCTCCAACCAGGAAAACCAGGGCCACCAATGTCAAAAAAGAATGAAGTGGATTACATTGACTATGTCTTTCTCTGATCACTGTGACAACACTAGGAAACAGTGACTTGAGAGGATAACATATATCAAAGGGTATAATCATAACTATCCACCATTCTTTCCTGAGGTCCAGGTAGTTTACTCAGAGCTGCAGTTCCACTGACTGCTGCATCTAGGAACTTGCCAAAAGGACACTGTTCTTTGAACATTGCCTGGAATAGGAAAAGTCTTGGAGATGTCTGCGTCCTATGACTGCAACCCAACACATCTCCTACTATGTTGGAACAGTAGAGAGAAATCACATTCATTTAGTTATCTGACAGTTGGTTTATATAGAAAATTAAGAACTGAAGTCTGTGTGTTTATGAGTCCTATCTACTGTATTTGAAAAATTTTGGTAAGGGCCTTAATTCTACTAAGGTGGAGGAAAACACACACCATATGCCTACAGAAAAGTAGCAGATGTAGTATCATAAGCCCTAAACTAAACAACAGAATTTAATCATAAGTCTGTGTACATAACCTGCATGAAACCTGTAGGTGTCCAGAAAAATCAAAGGAGGAGTCAGAGGACAAGCATAAAATTCCCACCTGCTCCAGTGAAGAGAAATGTTTGGTCACCTAACCAGAGACAGTTTGTCAGCATGTTTAGTGGACAAGCTGAAACTACTCCTCATATCTCCTCCTGGCAGTCCATACCCAAAACCAAGAGTTAGTGATGTGTCTGGAACCCCTCATGCTGGGTATAGATAGCATATGTTACCCCAAAACAGAACTGTAGTTCCTGTAGCTTTTGCCCTAGGGTTAAAGTGTTTATCCTTTTCCTCAAGATTGCTTATCAAACTTGGCTACTTGCTTAACATTTTGTCCAACTACCCCAAAAGCATGTTACCAGTTTGGATCAGGTGGATTCCAGAGACGGTGTCTACCTCTTACGATCACAGTCAGTTGGCTCTCCTAGCTACTATGGTACAAAATAAAGAATGATCAGAAAACCTTGTTATAAAAATCACATATCTACATAGAGGAGAAATCTTTTTGTAGATTTAGAATTTTTTGTGTGAGCTGAAATAAAGGACAGCCAAGATTCCTGAACATCTGCAGCATTATCAATTAGTTATGGTGTCAACAGCTTTCCTAGCAGATAGTGTGCACACACCAGTGTCTAGAACAAGTGTATTCAGGAGACTGAGGTGCACTTCTGTGAGCTGGACTCAATCTCTCCCCCAGCTATGGCAGTGCAATGGAGAGAGATATGAAGGTCTTGGGTCAGAAACCGCACTGTGCATGAGTTTGTCAAGTTTGTAGCATCTTTGTGTGACCTTATCATTCCATCAGTTCCTCTTTTAGGACTATTGAAGGCAATAACTCAAACGGGAAACCTGAAAGAGATAAAGCAGGACATGGCTGTTTACAGTGCAGTCCCGTAATCCCTATAAAGGGACAGAATTTAAAGGGGACAATCTGGTCTAGGAATTATGTATGGCCTACGGCAGATTTTGCTAACTCATGTCAGATTAGACAGTCTATCATACCAAATAAACATAATTCCCCAGGGACCCTACTAAAGGATGGGAAAAAATACCTTTATATATTTTTCCTTCTAATGGACTCCACTTAGGATACAGGAATTGCCGTATTGGATCAGATCCTGGGTCTAGCTAATGTAGTATCCTGTCTCAGACACTGGCAATCACCAGATACTTCCAAGGAGGATGCAAGAAATACCACACTAAGCAGACGTGGAATAATCAGACCCTTCATGAAGGTCTCATTGGCCTTAACCCCCAAGCAGAAGGTTTCAAAGGAGGGATTAGGCCCATTAGGAAGTATGAGGTTCTTTAGTAGGCAAATCTTCCCATGGATTGTCTCCTCAATTATCAACATCTGATTGCTTCAAATGAGGCAGTTAAACTCCTTGATTATCTGTATTTTGGTGTACCTGCTGAGTTAATTACCATCACCTATTACAAATAAGTATCACAAACACCTGACTCCAGTATTTAAGTACTCAGAGAGGAGTCTGAGGAGAAAAAGGAATCTCTTTTCTCACAGGCTCCATCTTTATCCATATCCATACTGTGCATTCACTGAAAAGACGACAGCTGTCTGTGGTGAGGATTTGACTTCAACCCATCCATTCAGTGCCCCTTCACAATCCTTCACTGGCAAGAGTGATTTCTAACAGTCCCCCACCATTTTCAATTAACTTACTTATATCTGCACCCAGTGTGCAGGTTTCTAGCCACACCAGTAACCCCACATTTTTGGTACAGACTGCCAGCAGGGATGGGAGAAGTCAGCTTCAGCTTGTCCACTCAAAGTGAACAACAGCCCTGATTAGCAGTTGCCTTTGACAGGTAGAGCCAATAATCCCTTACAGTTTGGGTGTTACCTCACTTGTGCCCAGGGTTTGGCTGTCTGACTACTCCCAATATTCCATGCCAAGGGCCTGGAGATGTCAATAGGGGAGGGAGTAGACAAAGTGCAGGACAGTACCAAAGAGGAACTGCCAGAACCCTTGGGTCTACGGCCTAGATCCTTGAACTAAGAGAAGAGCTGCTGTGAAAAAGCTGTTCCCTGTGGTACAGAAGCAACGTACAGGGGCTGTGATGCAGCACATAGGCTTCTATGGTAGAAGACTGGAAGACACCAAGATCTTTATCATATTTCCTTCTGTGGCCTTTGTGGTCCAGTTAATTCAATCCACTCATCACAGTCTAGAAGATTCCTTCTATACGTGAGGACCAATTTTCCTTTATTGTTATCCATCTTCATCTAAGACACTAATATTCAATGGATGCAAGACTTCTTTTTTCACTTAAAATGAATTAAATACCTTCCCCTTCCTACCCAACATGCTTGCTAGTTACACCTCACCAAACAAGCAACGCACAATTAAAAGGGTAAAAAGTGACAGATAGATTCAAATTTTTATTTTTGAAGGACCTTTACATTTTTTATTTTTGCCTAGAAGACTGAACTTAATTATAATTTAGTTCAATTTGAAGTATTTGTTATGAAAAAGGACATAAAGATTAAAAAGTAAGCCAAATTTTAAATTTGATTTTAGATGAACTTTAAGTAGTCAGAAAATTAAAAAGATATTGTAGTGGTTTTTTTCCTGTGTGTTGCAGTCTAAAGGAGAAAACTTTAAAAGAGAAATACAAAGTACTATGCATAATGTAGCACGGAAGTTAACTACTGTCCTGAAAATATCCTCTTTCCTGACTCCTGACCAACAGACTTCCCTTAAAGATACTCAATCCTGATAGCAAATCTCAACCGTCACACATTAAAATCCATTCAACGCATCTCTGAGATTAAAACAAAAATGGAAAATTTCATCTCAAAAGTAATCTAAACAAGTTATGAAAACAAAAAGAAGTCACAATGTAAATTAGAATTCTAACTTCACTCTAGTCAAACATTTGCTAATGCCTTTAATAACTATCAATACAGTACTAGCTGTGTTAGTAACATACATATAGTCAATAAAAATGTTTCCCCACTTATCCCACACAGCAAACTTCAGCAGATATGTCAAAGGAATCAAGAAATCTAGCCACAGAATACATGCATACCCAATGCATTTTTTGACTAATAACTAACAGCCATAATGATACAAAACATTAAAATGACATATCTGGACAGCTGTAATTAGCTACCACCTTTTCTCTCTTAAACAGAAAACCCACAAATTATTCATGCTTTCCATAGCCTGATGAGAATCCCACAGGATTCTGATCATGGTCCAAAGGCCTCTAAAAAGGAGCTCTCAAAGAAATGCCCTCAATGTCTACCTGACACCAACATTAATTTATTATACTTTAATTGAGCCACTGATTTTATATCAAGATTTGTTTTTAAAATTAACTTATGCTACATTCCTTTGTACATACGTTTTGAATACATATATTTCAAAATCAGAAAGCTTAAGCTTATTAAAAACAATATTAATGTAACATTCACCAGATTAAACTTTCAGGAACATTAACCTTCCCTCCCCTCCCAAATTTTCAACCTCATGAGGTGGAGGGGAAGGAGAGGGAATGGGAAAGATATTAAAAGTATGTGCTTACCTGTGCTGTTCATGTAGTGATTCTACTTTGGTTAAAAAATCTTCGTTCTGATCTGGTATGAAGCAATAATTTGAGAGATATCCTGAAAGATGTACTGAAGAGTTATAGTCTCCAAACTGAGCTGTTAGGGGAAAAAAACACATGCACAGAAAGGTTTCATAGACAGCCATAGTCTCATGTAAATACTGTTTATGGGAACTCCCCCCTCCACACTACATGGCATATTAACCAAAAGTAAGTATAGTTGTGGAAAACTGCAAGAATTAAAGATTATTTCTCACTGACCAGTTTTGTTTAACCTATCCATACTTTTGCTTCGTATGCCATAACAGATCTTGTTAGACTGCACATATTGCACCAGCAAAGAATATAACCATGTAAAATGTCACAGATGAAACAGAACTGTCTAAATCAGGAAAATCAAACTGAGCCAATTTGATGTGTGTGGCCCCATTACAGATAAAGAATCTGCAAAATGAAAATTCATTTTTTTAAATGTCTTGTATTTAAAACTATAAAGAAAATCTTCCAAACTTTAACTAACGTTGTTTTGTCCCATTATAACTACCGAGTTGTTATTTATCCATCTCCATCTTAACTGAGGGTTTAAGTTCGTCATGATAACCAATTCTTAATTTGTGCATGGATTTACAACAATCATATATGCACAAATGGCCAAATAAACAAAGGATAGAAACAGTGTTCTATACAAGTGCCCATAATAATATTTTCCCACTGAGTGATGCTGAATACAACAGTAAAGTCAAAAATGGACATATTTTCTAGCAATGGGATATCTGCTATAAATTGAAAGACAGCATATGGCCCTAACTTTGTAGCCTCAGTCCATGGACAAAAGTCAAAGATGTAACTCAGCCCTTTCCACAAAATAAGTTTGACACCCTTTGTCTAAAGAGCACCCTTTATGGATAGCAAGTAAGAATTTGTTATGTTTTTTTGTTGTTGTTTTGGTGTTTTGTTTTGATTCAAGCACCTACCTGCTGCTAAAAGAATTACCTAGAACTAATTTCAATGGAATTCCAAGTTCACAAGTACAGATGTACCCAAATGACTCCGCAGTAATGCTTTCATATGCCAATCAAAATTACTGAAGTAATGTGATACTATGCAAATCACTAGAACCTGAACTATTTTTCTTAGCACAGAACAAGCAGTACTTATTATAAAACATCTAAAGCATTACAAATATAGAAAAAGTTACTTGTAAGATATTTGGTGGATAAGCACAAGAAGAATGGTCTGCATTGCAGAAGTTTCAGTATACAATAAAGCCTTGGCCAAATCACACAAATAAAGTACATTTTTCTAAATAAGACGTCATTATTTTACAAAAATTTTAAAGGCCATGAAATATGAAATGACAGGTTAGCCAAAGAATTAATATTTCTTCATAAAAGAACCTGTAGCACAACAACTGTAGGATACCTAAAACAGAGGGAATGCCGAATTTAGGAATACTGGCCAATTAAGATACGAAGGAAAAATCTCTACGCCATATGAACCTTAACTACTGAGATATAAAAGAATGAAAGCTGTCAGCACCTGGAAAAATACAGTCCCATAGCTACTTGTCAGCACCAACTGGGGTCACAACATATATTTAAATAGAAGAGAATATGAAAGGACAAACATGAAGTAATTTAGTTTGGTTACTGTAATGTTCCTACTGTCCTTTGCTCCTAAATGCCTTTGAAAGCAGCTTAATTTTTGAACTAGTTAGCAAAACACACTCTTGACAGAAAGATTTGGATTTAATGATAAATATCTAAACAAACTTTAACAATGTTTGTCAAACATTAACTCTTCCTTTGAAAGCAAACCACTCACTTGCATGAACTGTGCCAAACCGAAAAAATTCCATGTATTGCAACACATTAATGTAGATCCAGGCCAATACCCTGCACAGATGTGCACAACTAAAGGCTAAGGCTATAGAAACACAAACTTATGAACAGTTTATCCAAAGTAATATATGCTTAATAATGGTATCAAAATAAAATATGCACATTTCAGACAACTGTGTTTTGACTGGAGAGTATATTTATTTTTCCTTTCCAGCAATTAAGATTTCTCAATCTCTTCCATATAATCTCTGACCCAATATTTTTGTTTTTTTGGGCTAAACTGAGGCTTTTTTGTGTTTTTTCATACCAAAGTTGGTTTGAAGCATATTCTTGTCAACAAGAGACTACATTGCCAAAAATAGTACATCTTACTTTTCTACTTCAAAATTTATGCTTGTGTTTCTTATTGTAATTTTACCTTCTCTAAAGAGAGCACCTATTGCTCAGTGATTCATTATGAGGTTGGGGTCTTCTAGTTCATCTTCCAAACATGTAGGCGCCTCTCCCCCCCTTCCCCCCTCCTTTCTTCCTAGCTAGGGACGTCCTTGATGTCAGGCCAGCAAGGAGGCACAGGTTAGACTTGCATCTCCAACTCTCCAGACAACTGCCGTAGTTGAAGAGATTAACTGTAATAAATGCTGCTTAGTACACACTGTAGAAGAGTAGTCTCAAGCATCATCCCACATTTCTTTTTAATTATCTTTTTAATTCCATTCCAAACAATGGAAAATAATTAGGATGTTTTATCTTTCCTGCTTGTGGGCATCTGATGGTCTATGATTCATTGTAACTGGGAAGTAACCAGAAGTATAACAATCTCAACAAACATGAAGAAATCAATCTTCAAGGAAATGGAGCCAAGGGGGGTGGGATGGGATGGGGAGGGACACATACCTCTCATTTGAATGTGCACTGATCATTTAAAATGTATCTGAAAAGTTTTAATAAAGAAAAATCAAAGAAAAAACCCCTGAACCATTCATTCAAAAAGCCATACTAAACAAGGAGAGCACACCTATTTAATAGTGCTCAGTCAACAAATGCAATAAAGACCAAATAGCCAAGTGGCAAATTCCTTGGAGGAACCCTTAAGATAATATGCCTCACAAGTAACATGGTTGTGAGAGTCCTCAACGAGGTAAAAGGATCTTTTACAAACATTTAAAGGCCTGAAAAATTCCTGTGTGTCTGTCTATATATATAGTGGATATGGATGCTTTGTGGCCCTGGCCTCCCATGTAATCCTAAAAATGATTCAGATTTTCTCCAAGGTTTAGTTTTGTATAAAATAATTTAACTGCTTGGTTAAAGTGTGTAACAGTTTCTCTTGGTTGTTGAAAGGCTTAGGTCATACACAAGGTAGATAAAAGGACTTGGGAAGGGGGGTGGAGAGAAGAGGAAGGGCAAATAGATTTGTAATCTGGAATGTTGCTGTAGCTGTGTTGGTTCCAGAATATTAGAAGACAGACACAGTGGATGAGGTAATATCTTTTATTGGACCAACTTCTTTTGATGAGAGAGACAAGCTTTCAAGCTACACAGAGCTCTTCTTCAGGTCCAAAGAAGAGCTCTGTGTAGCTCAAAAGCTTGTATCTCTCATCAAGAGAAGTTGGTTCAATAAAAATTACTTCACCCACCTTGTCTCTCTAAACAGATTTGTAGACAGTTTCTAGATTTGAGCAAGAAGTCCATGAACTTTCAGGAACATCGATGCTCCTCAGGCTCAGTACCTCAGCTGCTGGAAGCCTTCGTGTTTGAGCAGACCTTTGAAAAGAAGGTCCCAGCAGACCAGGAATCCAAAGATGCTCAAGTGACAAAACTATGGAGAATTATGAGTGAGTAGCTGACTATGTTTCTGTTAGTAAACTGAGAATTTCATTATTCTCATTCTTCTATGTGTAATTTATGTCCAGTCAGCCAGCATGTAGATTTGCCCAAATGTAATTGAAAGATGAAGGAAGTGGTCTTGAAAAATCTATGAACAAACTCCTTTGGGACTATTTCAAGAGATTTTCTGTCTGATGTGGATTGTTAAGAATTCTTTGGGATTAAGCCATTGGGGCTGGAAATTTCCTTTAGGAAAAGGTAAATCCTGATGTGGAAGGCTTGAAAAACGTTCGAAGAAACTCCTCTTTTACTATTTCTAAGATACTAAGGGAAAAGATTGTTAAAGACATAGGACTTGGAAGGCCTTGGGGTTTATTTTCTTTTTTAGTCATGTTATACTAACACATTTTATTGAAAGCTTCAGCTAATCACCTCAACTATGGTAGAGCAATCTCCAATCTACTGGGCTGCATAGCCTCAGTCGTAAAGAGCTCTGTTGCTGCTGCTTCAGTGACAGCACTTTCTTGTGCCCCAGGCTATGACCCCCTTTAAAGGAAAGGTGGGCAAACTCCGGTCCGTGGGACCGGCCTACCCGGCCCTTGAGCTACCAGCCGGGAAGGCTAGCCTCTGGCCTCTCCCCGCTGTCCCCCCTCCCCCGCAGCCTCATCTCGCCACGCCGCCAGCACCATGGCCCGCCGCTCCTGCCGGGCAGCATGGCAGCGAGCGTCTGCTGCTCTGAGTGGCATGGTAAGGGGGCAGAGAGTGGGGCAGTTGGATAAGGGGTAGAAGGTCCAGGGAGTAGTCAAGGAACAGGGAGCGGTTGGATGGGGTGGAGGCAGTCAGGTGACGGGAAACGGGGGGGGTTGGATAGGAGTGGGAGTCCCGGGGGGGGGGTGTCTGTCAGGGGGTAGGGCAGTCAGGGAACAGTGGGCTGTTGGATAGGGTGGAGGTTCGGGTGGGGGGTAGTCGGGGACAAGGAGCAGGGGGTAGTTGGATAGGCATTGAAGTCCTGGAGGCCTGTCAGGGGGTGGGGGCGTAGATAGGGGTTGGGACAGTCAGGGGACAGGGAACGGGGGGGTGGGGTCCCAGGGGGCAGTTAGGGGCAGGGGGTCCTGGGAGGGAGCAGTCAGGGGACAAGAAGCAGGGCTTTTTGGGGAGGCACAGTCCTCCCTTAAAGGGACAGGGAGTGTCTTTTTAAAAATGTATTTGCAGAGGAAAGAGATACTAAAGAGGGAACAAGAAAATCTCTGAGCAAAAAAGCCCTGATGATATGGTTTTAAAACTGGGCAATCTCCTTCCTTAACACTGACGTTTTACTGCATGATCATAGTCATTCAGATTGTCCAGTGGAGTTGGCAGACAAATGACAAGTTGAGAGTTGCTGGCAGGCCCAAAAAGTGATAGTCTAACTGCTCTGCAGTGGAAGAAAACTGGCAGGAGAGATATTTAAACTACCTCTAACCTGCAGATTTTAGCTATTTGGGTGGTCTGCTGCCATGAAAGACTGGCACAACATGTGCTTGGCTAGACTGCTGAAGATAGACATTGGTAGGTGTAAAAGGAATGTGAGGCCACGCTGACCTGATCCACACAACTGAGAAAGCCTGAAATAGAACAGACGCAGCACATGGAATTTTCAGGCAGTCATAGAAGAGCGGAAACTGGTTCCATATCTTGGGAATTCAAACGACCTGAGTGCATCTACCCTCCCTTTGTTATTTTAATTGTGATTTCAGTTTCAGAGCTAGTGGGAGTCAGAGCTGCCCTCTGGAAGAAACCCTGATCATAAGCTTGAAGAAGCAGGGTTTGAGATAGCACTCACAGGGACTGAGAATTGAAGCTAAAGCCTCCCCTGGAATAACTGGGGAAAGAAACCACCTAACTCTGGCATCCTAGGGGGTCCAATGCCATGGACTTTTCTTACCCCTCTGACTTACCTGCGTCTCAGAAGCACTCCTGAACTCCCTTCTTCCAGCTGAGAAAAATAGCAAGTGCCAATGTCTTATTGTTTTTTAAAAAACAAACATATCCTGCTGATGGACTTCTGGCCCAAGTAACCTAAGGTTTGAATGTCATTTCTACAGAGTGGGAGAGGAATGAATGGTGAAGGACAATGGAGCCAGCCTCGGAGAAAATTAAAAAAAAAAAAAAACAAACCACCACATCACCTTCTGCTTGGAAAAAGGAAGCAGAACTCTAGAGAAACCTCCTGCTTCTCCAAGCAAGGGTGGGAGACTGGAGAGCTGGAGATGTAAGCACTACTTTGTACAACTCCTTCTGCGGACTCATTGAGAAATTAGGAGCAAGAGTGAAAAGAAAGAGGCACCTCTGTTCTTAGAAGATATGGAGGAAGAACTCAGTCACAATGAATCACAATTTAAAGCACTCATTACAACAATTTATTCCTTGGATTGGGGCCTTATTATAAGAACTGACAGCAGAAGCAGCAGCAGCAGTAGATCATCTACATGCGATTTTAAATAAAAGCCAACTGTGTAGGACAATCCATTACATTTAACTTTCTAGAACTTTGTGGGCAATAATCTTAGTTTACAACATAAATAGAAAAATAGGGCAGGATGTGGAATTTGAAACGTGTTCTTTAATTGAACTCATGAGTAATAAATTATTTTAAAATATTTGAAGAAAATTACATCTCACTAGTGATTGCTTTTAAGAAAGAAGAAATTCAAGAGGTGCTGAATATAAAAGTGTGCAATATATAATGTTCAACATAAATTCAACAACTTTAAAAGTAACAATTAATCTGCATGTCCCTTATATCTAAAGAACAGTCTTTGTAGTTATGATAAATCATACAGTCACATCAACTAACCTGACAACCGTACAGACTGTTCTACTCTCCTGTAATTTTTACTACCATCAAACAAAGCTAAGTGTAGCATAACCAAAAGGCAATGTATCAGAACAGTTTTATTTTAGAACTTCACTACTAAAGCCAAACTACTATGAAAAGGCAATACATAGAAACAATTGGTTTTCCAGAAGCATGATCTATTCCAGGCTACCACAACTACAGCACTGAGTGGTTAGAAACATTTACAAAACTGAATAAATTATATTTTACATGTGGGAAAAAAAAGAGACCACTACTTAAATGAAATAATTTCCTATACAAGAAGTCCTGTGAAAAGGAAATGAAAATGTAAAAATAAATATAAAACTTAACACATCATGGAAACTCAGAGACAACGGCCACACGTTTTTAACCAACAATTAAAACCGCAAGATCAATCTCCTCCGTACACAAGAAATAATGCATGAGGAAATTGCAGCTGAAAAGTCATAGTAGTTTAGCAAGAAATGAGTCAAACTGGGCTAACCAATGGCAGTTCAAGCAAGAAACTTTTCCCCCTTAAAGGCTGCTATCTTGTACTCCAGAATCTCAGTTTTCATTTAGAAGATAGTTAAATTAAAATCCAAAACTGAAATGACAATAGTTTACAATATCTATTCTCAGATAAAAACCATGATCAGTAATCTATATATCATTATAGAATAATGATCTATTCAGTAAAAATAATGGAACCCGATTAGCAAGACAATAGACATGTATTTTATTTGTTAGGGCAGTATTTTCCCTTATTATTAGGATGCCCCGTATGTTGCTGAACCCAGAGGCTCACAGAATGAACATGCAGCACAAGCAGCAACAGAAACTCTAGTAGCTTACAAAAGAAAATGAAGGAGAAAAACAACTTTTCTACTGGGAACATCACTGTCTACAAATGGCAGGGCTATGTATATAGATACAAGGGAAAAACCCAAATATGCTAGAAAAATCATGTATACTCTAGTCTGCACACTGCATTCGTACCATTAGCCATCCCCTTCCCCCAGCAACATAAACCTTCCTTCCTCTTTAATTGCCCTTCTGTATACACTGCTTTATGAAATACCTCCTCACACCCTTAGTTAATTCATATTAGCTTTCCTGGACATTCCTGTGTAGAAAAACCCTTAGAGTGAAAATATGTTCTAGACCAATTCATACTGTAAGTTTTATATGGAACATAAATGAGGGCATTGATTATTTCTAATTCTTGAATCAATCTAATATTTTCTATAGCACAGATTTAATGAGCATGCTACCTCTATCTAGTGAAACTGCCCTAGGCATCCAAGTATAGAGTACTGGTCATTTATTTTTTCCTTCCAAGTAGCTCCTTAATCCTTCTTTACAATGCATCAACTTCAGTAACAATTTTATCCAAGAGGATAGGTAAAGGAAGTCTTCTGCACTGGAGTTATCAATACAGCTCAGTGGAAGGTAAAGCACAGCTCAGTGATGGTCAAATATTTTACCAGCCAAGAAAGATCTGTCATTACTTACACTGTACGGCATAAGATGCAAGGACAACAGCAGAATTAAGAGGGCATAACAACCTGAGAAAAGAGAAAAATAGGTGTTTTTTTATATATGTGTGTGTGTACACAGAGATATACACACACACTTACACACAGCATAAATAGGTAGAATATTAACCATTTCTCTGCAATCAATGTATTTCGTAATGTTTATATTAATCTTCAGCAAATCTCACTGATTTTTTTTTAAACAAAAGACAATAGTCATAGCATAGTAGGGTGATGAAAGCAAGTTGTGTAACAGCTCATTAATGGAATGGAAATAACGTGTCTTAAATGGATATGTTCATATCCTTGGATGCTTATTCTGGAAAGGGAAAATGAAGGAAAGATTTTTTTGCTCTGGATATAACTTTAATAACTGCAGTCTAGTATTTTTAACATGAGACATGAACATTAAAATTAGCCAAGTGCACAAATGCAGCTCTGACCTAGAGTCTATACAGAACTTGCTATCAATTTTTAAAGACAACAGGTAATTAAGATAAAAGGTTTGGACCACATTTTAGACTTTTTCATCGATGCACAAGACTGACAGAAGGACATCGGAGCCTTCTAACTTATGCCTACCAAGCAGGGACTACGTACAAATGAAGTCCATGAAATCTCCTGAGGACAGGGACTGTTCTCTACTAGGACCATCTAAGAGTTAGAGGAATGTGGCAGGCCATGGAAGGCAGAGCATGCACCACACCCTTAAGGGGTGGTACAAGTCACCATGCTACTCCCTCCACAAAGGAGATCTACTTTTGAAGCACAGACAACTTGTGCCTCCTGATACTGTGGGGGTACAATGTATATAGAGGGACATGTGATTGCCCCTCATGTCGCCTCTGGAAGAAACTTCCAGCCCCACCTCCCTGGGTCAGGGCAGCCAATTCCATGGGTTCCTGAGGGGCTGGGGCCACAGGAGCAAGTGCCTCTGAGCCTGGCTGGGGCTGGCCCTGGCCCAGGAAACTCACAGAGTCAGAGATACCACAGGAGGGGATCCCAGGGGCATGGGAAATGCCCCTACCTCCAGCTGAGCTTGAGTTAAGCTTCCAGTGCTTTCCCCAGCGACCTCCTGCCCTGCACCCAGCCCAGGGACCACCCTGCTCTCCCCATCCTACCAGAATACCTGCAGGGAGTGAAGGGGGCTCTGCCTTTCTCCCACTGCGCCTCCCCGGCACATTTCCAGCTCGCTCAACCCCTCTCCCTGACAGCCAGGCCTGAGCAGGAGCAGGATGGAGCCCCTTCTCAGGCCGACTGAAGGTGGCCACTCCGGGTCGCTGCCTCTGTGCAACGCAGCAGCTGCCTGAGAGTGAGCCCAGCTGGGGAGGCAGCAGCAGCCCTCCCCCTCCACTCCCTGCCTGGGCCCACCTGCTGGGGACAGGGACCAAGCAAGCTGGAAATGTGGCAGGAGTGGGGAGGCCTACGTTTCCTGTAAGCGGTGCAGCAGGCTGTCAAGGTCCGTGCAGGGGAGGAGAGGCGCCTCTCCCCTGGTCCCAGCCTCGGAGCTGCCATGACCAGGGGAAGAGGTGCCTCTTCCCCAGTCCCAGCCTCAGAGCTACCATGGCCGGGGAGAAGCGTCTCTCCCCTGGATCTGGGCTGCTCCCACAAGAGACAGCTGGGGGGGGAGTCCTCTCTCCCTGGTGCAGCCCCAGGGTAGCCTGAACCCCAAATCCCTCATCCCCGATCCACCCCAGAGCCCGCACCCCCAGTCTGAGCCCTCAACCCTCTGCACCCCAACTCTCTGCCCCAGCCCTGAGCTCCCCCCCACACTCCGAACCCCTCGGCCCCATCCCCACCACACATCACCTACATATTGGAACACAAAATTCATTCCACACATGGATGTAAAAAATCAGAGGGAACATTGGGGGTGGCTCTGGCTTGCTCAGTCCATATCCACAGCAGCCATGCCTGGGAGGAGAACAGAGGGGAAGGGCCACTGCCGCCTCCCCAACCGGGTTCTCACAGGCACTTGCCGCTCTGCACATAGCAGTGACCCGAGCGGCTACCCTCAGCCAGCATAAGAAGTGGCTTCGTCCTGCCCCTTCTGCTCTCTGCCTGGGCTTGGCTACCAGAGATGGGGCCAAATGTGCGAGGGGGCAGGTGCAGCAGGAGAAGGACAGAGCCCCTCTCCCTCACCCGGCAAGCAGAAATCTCCGGGGGGTGGGGGGGGGCACCTCGCCCCCACCACACACCACCTATGTGAAGCACAATGCCCACTGGAGCTCAAATGAGGCAGTTTCCTCTGACACAGTCACAACATGGGTTGCTCCTTTATAGAACCAACTAGCTCTATAGATGTTAGTAACATTGTCATTTGCCTGTTTTTGTAAAGCAATATTCAATTAAGAACATTTTTATGATAGCAAAAAATCTACTCAAACAGATTTTTTTCTCCTTGACTGTTCCTTTTTATGTCCAGCTATTGAAGAAAGATGACTTCATTAAGAACTTTTCATTACCTTCCTTCCAAAATATCTGTCTTCAGTTGTAAGAAGAATAAATGCCTAGAAAACAGAATTTGGAAGAGTTGATTCATGTTCAAATATCAGATTTAATAATTTCTAAGAAATCTATATATAACCTTAAGCTTTATGCATGTATTTACAAAAAACTATATGTACTCAAGCCTGCTTGGATATTCCTGTAAATCTTTAACTATGTGAATGCTCACTGTCATTCACAAGAATTACGGTCTTTTGTAGTTCCTATTAAAAGTCAGTTCCAATCTTTAATTAAGTTAAAGGGTCACTATTAAATGATGAAAGATTTCCTTAGATTCACGTACTAAACGCACTGCCTCCAAAGTGCCCCCACTTCGTCTCAGGAGACGAGAGCCAGTGATCAAAAGTTAACTCAGTCTTCTGCATGAAATTGCAGAACAAACCATTAGAAAATGGGGCTTGCCTAGCTCCCATGAATTCTGATTTGAGATCCAATCATCTGTTGAATCTGTGGATCAAACATCATCTTTATAACAAATTATTGGTTGAAAGAGTTCATTCGTAAAGTAGTTCCAATGCCCTCATATTTAAGATTGATTCACAGGTAACTAAGATTTTCGATCCTATCATAGTTTCTTTTTATTCGTACATTCTAGTCTCTGACAGCTACTTGTATGGTACCTCAGCTGGTATTCATTAACATTTAAAAGGACAATTTAGTAGTGGCAGCTAGAAAGGGTCTGAACCCCGTTAGCATATCAAAAATGCAATGGTGGCTGAACCAACTTTTTATTTGATTAAGGTGAAACTCAGCGTGTGCTCTTCTTAAAGGAATAGCCATATGATGTTACTACGTTATCAAACACATTAAATGCATACTGCAAAAACATGAAGATTTACAATTCACTTATTAAGTCTGTATGCTCTGCCTGAAAATCATACATGCTTCACCTGTCAGTCAATGGATTCATAGATAAAATGCATGATGCACAATTCTGCATTTAACTATGGAAGCACTGCTTACAATTCCATAGTTAAGGATGAATTAAATTTAGCACTTAAAACTGGGATTCAACCACAGTATTATGATTTATTATTTGTATTATCATAGCACCTGGGAGACCTAGTCATGGACCAGGACCCCATTGTGACAGGCACTGAACAGATGCAGAAGAAAGAGACACTCCCTATCAGAAACAGCTTATATTTAGATTATAAAACGAGAGAGAAAAAATGGATGCAGACAGAGTGACACTGGAGTACAAGGAAACAATACGACAACATTGGTCAGCATGATAGGCAGTGGTCTCTGCACAACAGCAGCCTAGTTGTTAAGTAAATCTTAGTCTGTGACTTAAAAAAATAATTTAAAACGGGTTCTTTAATAAATGTAGCACTCTGTGTCACAAAATATTTTTGTCCTTATTGATTTCAGTAACAAAACAGACTCTTCAAAACTTCCCATGTAGTAAAAACTCACTGAAATCTTGTGCAACTTAGCCTCACTCCCATTAGGAACAATGTGAGATGGTGTTTATTTTGAAGAAGGGCTTTGCTATACAGTGACACCAAAAGTAATTTTTTTTGTATGAATAGGTCTTTAAAAATCAGTTTAATCTAATCTAGGACTACAAACACTTATGCATTTATAGTTGTATGGGTATTGTATGGCATCACTATAGAACTGAGTTAAGGTTGTCTGAGTGCCTTCACTGTTCACTTCCAAATCTCAATATGTTTTGATTCTTTTATATAACCATAACTCTGAATTTCTTGGGTTTATTATGATTGGTTTGGGGATGATTTCAACATCACTTTAATGTTTTTACCATGGAGCATACATATCAGTAATTTAAAAGTTTTAGTGTGGGAATACTGTATAATTGTTTACTTACATAAGGAAAACTACTCCTACTTCTTCTTATTACAAATGGCAGTTATTTTGTGCTTTAATTATTTTCATTCCAGCTCAAACCTGAGAGGCTATGAACACTTATAAGGCCCACTGATTGGAAGTTCCAGGTGTTAAAGGTCACCCAGGATTACATCATTTGTGAAGAACATATCTTATTTATTGCATATTCTAATTACATTAAGAAATTAGGTTTAATGTGATAGTGCTATGTGGCATAAACATTTCCCATATTCTACCGAGAGCTTCAGTGCTAACATGCAACGGATATAACATTGAACACTTGGTTTCTACTGTTCTCATAAAATTTAGAGTGCTTATAGGACAAGCTCCATGGTAAGACTGCATGATTATTATTTTAAAGTGTGAAAAAAACTACAAAAAGTTAAGGATCCTATATCAAAAGTAGCTACAATGTTGTACTTCGTAACTGTAATGACACATCAAAATAGATAAGCTATAATAATTACATGCAAAAATAAGTTAAACTAATGTTTATATTACAATATCAGGTTTCAGAGTCACAGCCGTGTTAGTCTGTATCTGCAAAAAGAAAATGAGTACTACAGCTCACGAAAGCTCATGCTCAAATAAATTGGTTAGTCTCTAAGGTGCCACAAGTACTCCTTTTCTTATTACAATATCATGCATTTGAAATGCCTGATTTATGGTTGCCCATGCAACCTTAATTTTATCTCTTTGTATATGCATCCTGTACATTGAATGAGGCAAAGATCTCAGACTACAAAATAGTATGTGATAATTTAATTCAAGATTGTATTAAAATGCATATGCACAAAACCAGAAAGGAATGTAATGGGTCAAAAAAGGAACTTCTCTGACCAGAGGGCTTCCCCCTCTTGAATTTCAAAGGTCTGCTGCAAACAATAGAGGTGTTAGAGCTTTTCAGAAAATGTTATAAGCATCTTTTATAATGAAAAGTATTAAGCAACTTAACAATGGTGGAGGCGGGGACAAGAGGGAGGTTGCTACTAGCTCCCCCTATAATGAGGAAAAAATAAACTACTGCATGTGTTCAAACTGGCCAAATCAATGTTGCTGTAGAACCTCTAAAGTAATAGTCAGGAGATGCAAAAACTTCATTGTGCAACCTTTATTTTTAAAAATTATTATATTTAGTTGAAAGAGAAAGAATGGCTTGAATGCATACTTCCTGGAAGCATTTACTGCTTTAACTACAGGTTTTTAGTGTGCAGTGGCAGAATCCCTGGGGCCAGTTAGTGCAGGGGTTCTCAAGGTTTTTCTTTCTGAGCCCCCCCAATGTGCTATAAAAATTCCAGGGCCTGGCAGGGGAGGCTGGGTCTCTATGCTTCAGACACAGCAGGACTTAGGACTCCAGCCGCCGGGGGCGGAGAGGGGGTAGGCAGGGGCGCTGGGGCTTCTGCCCTGTGGGGCAAGGGGTGAGGCTTGGGGCTCCAGGCTTCTGTCCCGCAGGACAAGGGGGCTCCTGGCTTTAGGTCTGCAGGGCAGGGGGAAGCTCAGGGCTCATGGATACCCTAAAAAAGCTGTGTACCCCTGGTTGTGAACCACTGAGTTAGTGAACAGCAAACTGGTGCACTATAAAATCACATCCTGGCTTGCTAAGCTCTAACTTTCCATGTAAACAAGCACCAGGAGAAAGCATATCCTGCAAGCACTCCATTGCGGAAATCTCTATCTTCCATGACAGTGTATTCAGAAATAGGCCCTTTGTTTGTAACAAGCATACAGTACTTGTGTTCAGTTAAGTGTGGGGACCTGAGTCAGTGATGCATGCAACAGCAATTAATTAGTTGAACATGTCTCATTTTTGGAGGAGAGTTATTTGTTTCAGGCAAATCTATACCCTATTTTAAATTGTGTATTTGATTTTTGGATGTGCAGCCCTTTCCCATTCCTTGATTTCTAGTAAGATGCTTTCTTAAGATAACAGAACACCGCAGTTACAAAAGTCTTGTTGAACTTGTATCACAAGTCATATATGGTCCCTTAGAAGTACAATAAATTACCTTATGAAACAGGCTGTTTTGATAATGAAAGGCCATATGATTTTTTTGTACGCTAAAGGCCAGCATGATTCATGTTTTTCATATCAACACTCCTCACACTGCATGTTGCACCTTCCTTGTGTGACACACATAGAGCTGATATGTAATCAAGTTATGAATACAGAGATGTCACAATTTTACAAACATGGTATGAGACTGGATCAGTGAGGGGAAGTTATTGTATATTTGATTATTAGAATTTCCTGCATGACTTTATTGACCTAACTTGTACTAGGGGTGACAGCATGTTTATTTTACATCGACAGTGCTCAAAATCAATGGAGTCTGTCTGAAGGTGATATGGGGGCTTCCCACATAAGAACACCCAAGCACACACTTGAAGAATGCGGTAAGCTGTTAGGTTCAAGGATCCTGTCTCTTGACTATAACCAGCTGCAAACCTTGTTCTGCCAAAGCTAGGAGTTACCAGATCGAAGAGTTATAAACAGTGTTTTAAAAAGTGGCTCAATTCCTACGAAAGCGCAGAGTTGCCAGAGGCTGACCAGTGAGCAGTTAGTAAGCTTTGACAGGGAGAAAAGTTGACAGTAGTTGGAAGATGAAATTCCCAGTTCAGGAATACACTAAAAATAGCAACATGTATATGGTGGCTTGGGTAAGCTGCCCAAATATGTACCTCAGACAGGACTGTATTCAGAAAGCTAGCCTGAGCTGCTGTGGCTATTCTCCTCTTTTTAGCATGTTAGCTCCAACAGAGCTAGAACATGTCTGTCTTCCCAAGCTGGGAATTATACCTCCCAGCTGCTGTATAGACATACCCAGAGAGAGGCTCAGTGGAAAAGTCTACAGGGAGTTAGTCATACTACAGTCATAGAATCATAGAATATAAGGGTTGGAAGGGATCTCAGGAGGTCAGCTAGTCCAACCCCTTGCTCAAAGCAGGACCAATCCCCAACTAAATCATCCCAGCCAGGGTTTTCTCAAGCTTGGTCTTAAAAACCTCAAAGGAAGGAGATTCCACCACCTCCCTAGGTAACGCATTCCAGTGCTTCACCACCCTCCTAGTAAAAAAATTTTTCCTAACATCCAACCTAAACCTCCCCCATTGCAACTTGAGACCATTACTCCTCATTCTGTCATCTGCTACCATTGAGAACAGTCTAGAGCCATCCTCTTTGGAACCCCCTTTCAGGTAGTTGAAAGCAGCTATCAAATCCCCCCCATTCTTCTCTTCTGAAGACTAAACATCCCCAGTTCCCTCAGCCTCTCCTCGTAAGTCATATGTTCCACTCCCCTAATCATTTTTGTTGCCCTCCGCTGGACGCTTTCCAATTTTTTCACATCCTTCTTGTAGTGTGGGGCCCAAAACTGGACACAGTACTCCAGATGAGGCCTCACCAATGTCGAATAGAGGGGAACAATCACGTCCCTCGATCTGCTGGCTATGCCCCTTCTTATACAGCCCAAAATGCCGTTAGCCTTCTTGGCAACAAGGGCATACTGTTGACTCATATCCAGCTTCTCGTCCACTGTAACCCCTCGGTCCTTTTCTGCAGAACTGCTGCCTAGCCATTCACTCCCTAGTTTGTAGCAGTGCATGGGATTCTTCTGTCCTAAGTGCAGGACTCTGCACTTGTCCTTGTTGAACCTCATCAGATTTCTTTTGGTCCAATCCTCTAATTTGTCTAGGTCCCTCTGTATCCTATCTCTACCCTCCAGTGCATCTACCACTCCTCCCAGTTTAGTGTCATCGGCACACTTGCTCAGGGTGCAGTCCATGCCATCCTCCAGATCATTAATGAAGATATTGAACAAAACCAGCCCCAGGACAGATCCTTGGGGCACTCCGCTTGATACCGGCTGCCAACTAGACACGGAGCCATTGATCATTGACCTGCTGAGGTAAGTCACGGGCGATACACAGGGAACTGCAACCCAGGGCCCACTCTGAGCATAGGAGAATCATATGATACCACCTCAAGACAGAAGTGACAGTTTGAGGCCAGAGGTCAACACTCAGGATATACTCCGAAAGACCAGGCAGGGTCAGAGATGCAATTCACCCTTTAATTGTGACACCCAGTGTCACATTAAACTATATCCCTGTACCTTCTGAAAGTAAGCTCTATGTGGCAGGAACTATTCAGTCTGTGCCCTATAACCGGTTGTATAGCATCACACACACCTATAACACTATATCAATACTAAACATTTTACTTAAATAGCAAATCCCCACACCTTTTATATTAAAAATATTTCAGAATAATCAGAGAATAAATTGCAGTCTAACAGAAAATAAAAAAAGAATATTACGAATTCTTAGTTGATGGATGTACATTTTGAAAATAAAGTTACCTGGTTTGTTCTTGCTGCAGTGTGTTGGGATCGGGTATAAAAAATCTTACTCGAAAATGGATGGTGCAGGGAAAACCTCCTACAATGTTTTACAAAAGAAAATCAATATTTCTATTTTTGGTTTATTTCTGTAAAATTTATAGAAAAACAACAACAGAAAATAACCACATAATATGACAAGTCTGGTTTACTTTCTTTTTTTGACATGGGAAGAAATTATGAAATATATCTATTCACTATTCCCGCACTCCCATTATATTGTTAGGTCTTTTGCTACTTTCAGAGCAAGAACACACACATATATCCTTCTCTGAAGAACAATCTTGTTCATGAAGCAGTCATCAGCATGGTCTATTCAGTTACCTTCTTTTATATTTTTAACAGTGCCATTTTTAACACAGCAATTTGTGTTGGAAAAAAGTATATTCCATTCCTTCTAGTATTAAAAGAGGAAAGTCTTAAAGAGGAAAATACACCTGATGCAAGTATCTCATAAGACAAGCAGGAATGTTATAACAGGAAAATTTAGAGAATCCTCTACATTTCCTCTTGTGAAAAATAAACAGTAACAAAGCTTTAACAATCATTATGCATAACTAACTTTTAACCTTATTTAAAATCACACACAAGCTACAAAATGAGCTAGAATCAAGAGATCAAAAACAGAATTTGTGTTTCAATTTCACTAGTGATTATGTAGCTTTGGATACATCTGCATTGAGAAAAAAATTGTTACCAGAAGTTGTTTATAAATGGTTCATGCTAAAAACAATTATGCCCTGTACTTTTTTTTTTTTTAAAAAGACTGAGTTGAAACACTATAGACTAATTTTGCTCCACTCTGGCCAGACTAAGAGCTTTACCTGAAATGGTTTAAAAACCATATTTGAAACCATTACACTCTTTCCCCATCAACTACTTAAAAAGCTTTTTGTCTAAAATCCCTCCCCTCTATTGCTGACATCAGTGGGAACAGTAATGTACAGTGGTCACCAGACAGCTACTATTTTCACTACTGTGTTGTCTAACTTTGCTCAGACCAGGGTGAGAGGACAGAGCGATAGCAATGTTGGTGACCTACAGTACCTAATCTACACTGGAGCAGCTACCACTACTGAAGCTTAACCAGTAGTAAGAACTGTGGGAAGTTTTGCCAAAAAGTCTACTGTTTATGCCCAAAAGTGAAGTTGAGAATTATGTTTTTTCTAATCAACGAAGTACGTAGAAGAGGAATTCAGGCCAGAAAAAGTTAGATTTTTATGTAAAGTATCTTACCTTTAAGCTGTTTTCTAACAGGTTTGCTTGATTCGAGCCATCGCTGTGAAATGAAAAATTAGATGAATTTCTCAAAAATAACTTTTAAAATATATTTCTTAAAATTTAACACTATACTTACAGGGGAATCTACTGACTCTTCACTTTGTTGTAAACCAAAATATTCCTTCTCTGTCACACCCAAGTGGTTGTAGGCCATATCCAACAAAACCTGACCAGTATCTTGTTTCTGAAAACAAAGAACACTCCATAAATGAAATGCACACTTTTGTTTTCAATTAAAAACCTAAATGGAAAAATGGGTTATAAAATTTAGTCTATAAATAAAATGGTTAAAAGTTTCTCAGAACAGAGATCATAAGACATGAAGTACATTAAAGTGAATAATTTCTCACCAAGATAAATTCCCCTAATGTTTTCAAAGAACATTTCTCCCTGAAAAATATGAATTGATAGGAGTTAAAGTTTCAAGGTTGGTAAGCCTAAAATTATAACCAGCAGTTATGAGATGTGCTGGCTGATCAAGCATAAGAACAGAAGAAAGGCCAGCCTGGGTCAGACCAATGGTCCATTTAGTCCAGTATCCTGTTTTCCAACAGTGGCCAGGTGCTTTGGAGGTAATGACAGAACAGGTAATCATTGAATGATTCACCCCCTGTTGTCCAAGCACAGCTTATTCAGAGGCTAGGGACACCCAGAGCATGGGGTTGCATCCCTGACCATCTTGGCTAATAGCCATTGATGGACCTATCCTCTATAAACTTATCTAATTCCTTTTTTAACTACGTTATAGTTTTGGCCTTCACAACATCCCCTGGAAACAAGTTCCACAGCTTCACTGTGTGTTGTGTGAAGAAATACTTCCTTATGTTTTAAACTGGCTGCCTATTAATTTCATTGGGTGACCCCTGGTTCTTGTGTTCTGTGAAGGAGTAAATAACACTTCCTTATTCACTTTGCTTCATGCATCTCATGTGACATGCATCCAGGCTGATCCTCACACATTCCTGCAGTAAAGACCGAATGTTACCCATTCACCAGGGCTGCAGAAATTGTCTGAAATGAAGGCTCACTGCCCCCAGAGACAATTGTGGCTCCCTGCTGAGAAGGCAGCTAAAGCAGCCTGTCTTGCTACTTCCCCTACTGGATTCGAGTTGGGAAAGCAGAAGTCAAGACAGATAACAGGGAGCCCTGATACTGGTCCAAAGCTCTCTGCCCTACAGGTCCCAGCTTCCACTGTACACAGCTGCCCCCAGATACCCCCAAACTCCCACAAGGCCTCCCACACCTACCACCATCTTCTCTTACATAATCCCACAAATTCAACTGTCTCAATTTCCCTCCTCCCAGACACACCTTATATAGCACCCATCTATCCCACAGACACACTTCAGCACCCTCTCAACCTCGTACAGCTACCAAATTTTGTGAAAATCCCTATCCTATACTGCCACTGCTTGGAGAAGGATGTATTAACCTTAAGCTGAAGTTCATGGTCATATACAAATCTGCAAATATAAAGAGGCAAGTTGCATATGTGCAAACTTGCATAAAATTTCACGGGGAGCTGCAAAAAACTTGGTAGCTCTGTTTGTGTTGGTTTGTTGGATAAAACATAAGTCATTCCAGCCTGCCCCATTTCTGTGAGCAGTACCTGTTCACAGGAATGCAGTCTACTCTAACTGTGTGCCAACTGTAGCTTGTGTTTTTTAATCTTACCATTTGCAGGATAATTGCTTGTTTCAATACCCACAACTATTGACAAGAATACTGCGTTAAGCAGACTTACATATTAAACTACACACACAAAAATACACTAAAATAACTATAGATTATTAAGATCTAGATCTTAAGATTGCCAAAGTCGCACTCAACAGTTCAGAAGCGTCAGAATTTAGGTTATCTATACAACCTTAATTCTGTCCCCCACGCGAACGCATTGTGATACAGTCTTTAATAAAATGATCACATACTATTTGTTCTCCAGGACCCCTACCTCATTCAGTCCACAGGATGGATGGTGCCAGTAGCATAACAAGGCCACAGAGTGCCCTGGTGCAAGAACAGGTGAGGGGCCCCTTCTCCCAGCCTCCTCATTCTTCAGGGTGGGTACCTGGGTCCCCAAACACCCCCTGCATCCCTCCCCCAGCCGCCTCCTCACCCTCTACCCCCTGGGGCAGGGGTCCTGCTCCCTGCAACCCTTCCCCTGCTGCCACTCAGATCAACCACAATGGGAGTTGGATACCTGCCACTCAAGTCCTCACACTCCGCACCCCAGCCTGAATTCCCCACACGGCTCCCCATATTCCTCACAACCCAGCGCACATCCCACTGTCCACACACACCCAGCCCCCATACTCTGCTTAGCCTCCAGCAACTCACCCCAACTCTCAGTTCGCCCCCTGCACCTTTCTGGGTGAGCTCCTCACTGCTGATGCAGTGGTCGCACAGTGAATCTAAAGTGGCAGCAGGAGGCTTTCCAGGCAGCAAGGCCATGGGGGCTGGAGCGGTAGGTGTGGGCTGAAGCCCTGGCAGTGCCATCAGGAGCAGCCCCGAGCCGCTCAGTCACAATCTTATTTGCACTGGGGGGGCAGGGGCAAGAAGTAGCTACAGAGGGGTCGGGGGAGTGCTTCCCCAGCAGCCCATCTGGGGATCGCTTCCTGCTCCTCGGAGCCCTTGAGGAAGGGGCAGGAGCCCCCTCCAGCAGCTTGGCTAGGTGGGCCACTAGTCTGCCTATAGGTGGAGTGGTCTCTGCTGGTTGGGCCCCATCACCTCATGGGCCCAGGAGCAAATGCACCACAGAATGGTGCTCAGTTAATAAGAAGCTACTCAATATTTTGTCTGATTCTCATTATTCAGTGTATGGTCCAGGCCTTTTCTTCTGCATACTAGTCAAACCCTGCTCTGAAGACAATTATGGATTTCCCCATATACTTATCTATGGCACTCATCACCACAGTATCTGGATGCTTCACAAACATTAACTGTTTTTCGGTGAAGTGAGGGGATGGAATTAGTCCCATTTTACAATGGCCAACTGAGGCACAGAGGTGAAAAGTATCCACTAATTTTGGTGCTCAATTTGAGATGCCTAGGACCTGATATTTCAGAATACTTATTATTAGATGTCTCTTTAATATGCTCAAGCACAGCTCCCACTGACTTCTGCAGCTGTGACTGTGATGCTTCCCAATGGTACCCAGAGTTATGAGGCACCTCACTACCACCTGCCCTTAGCATGAGGAAACCTCGTCTGTACCTGCCGGGGTCAGCTCCTGACTCCACCAGCCAAAGGCAACACAAGCCCTCCCTTCTCAGACTATGCCGACTATACCGTCCCTTTGCTGGCTAGCAGTAGATTCACTCCAACCCCCGAGTCCCCCTTGGATGCCCAGCCAATTATCCATCAGAAACTCACAGGACTACTTTCAGAGTAGCAGCTGTGTTAGTCTGTATTCGCAAAAAGAAAAGGAGTACTTGTGGCACCTTAGAGACTAACAAATTTATTTGAGCATAAGCTTTCGTGAGCTACAGTCTCTAAGGTGCCACAAGTACTCCTTTTCTTTTTTCACAGGACAACCAGATCCTTGCTCCCAAGAAACAGTACACCACAGCTTAACAGTTATGCTCCACTCCAGATCACTGCTCCACTTAACACATAGCACTTAGATTTGTTTATAGAGAAAGCAAGTACAGTATAAGTTTATTTAACAAAGAACAAGATTCAAATGATTGTTTCAAGTAGTTCTGTTTGCTAAGAGTTACATATAAAATAAAATCATAACATGTACTCTTAATTCAACTACAAGATGCTCTCTTGTCTAATAAGGTCCTGCTTACTCCAAGTCCTTCTCAGTGTTTTTCTACCAGAAAGGCTGAGACCCTTCTTTCAGGAGACCAAGCCCACCGGCAGCTTGTCTGTCCAGATGAAGGATGCAAGGGCATCTTTCTGCAACCTAGCTATATCAAGATCTGTCCTTCGTTCTTCACCTGTAAACAGGGTTCCCCTCTCTGCCCCACCCATACTGTTTACCTCTTCCTGTTAATTTCTTCTTCTGAAGTCTCTGCAATCTCCTCCTTAAGATTTGACCAGTATGCAGATAGACTTCCATTGTAAGACACACAATGCACAATGGTTAGCCAAGAGATAAGAGTCTCCCACATCTGATCTGGTGGAACCCATTTTAAGGCATGTCATCTCTGGGTGACCTGGCTTTAACTTCAAAGCTTTAAGAATATAATCTCCAATATATATACACATATTTCCTTACATATAATCTGCACATACATTTCACAAAGATTGTGATGATCAGTGTGATACAGGCTTTCAGAAGAGACCTTAACACTACACTTTTTAGTGAGCTAGTATGTAAATACCAGATCAAAAGAATGCCAGGTGGCATCAAGAGGACCTTGGGTCACAGTGAGTGATCAGAACTTCTGAAAAATTGGGGCAGAGAGTCTCAAGGTATCTTTCGGAGGATCCTTCTCATTTACCTTTCTATGTCTATGTCCTTGGTCCCCTTTTCTTCTCCCTTTATACTTTATCTCTCAGTAATTTCAAACCCAAACAAAAATTCAGCCACTATCTCTATGCTGATGACTCACAGATCTACCTCTCTACACTAGATATCTCAACCTGTCTCTGATATCTCCTCATACATGTATAGCTGTCAGCAGTGTTCCCTCTAATTTTTAACGTCCATGTGCGGAATGAATTTTGTGTGCACCAATATGAATGCTTTTTCCCATGCTACCCCTCCTACTTGGGACGAGCTCCCCATAATCACCCCCAAAGCTACCTCATTATCCACCTTTAAATCCCTCCCAAATGTCTTGTTTTCAGTGATGCCTATAAAAAGAAACTTTACAGTTGGGCCACAGATGTGCTGAGACCGCTGCCTATCATGACCAATATTGTCTCATTGTTTCCTTGTACTCCCCTGCTTGTTAACAACCATCTGTTGTCTCTGGTGTTATACTAGATTGTAAGCTCTTTGTGACAAAGACCTTTCTAATGTAGACTCAGCTATGCCAGCTAAAAAGTGCTTTTACCAGTGCAGCTTATATAGGCTTGGTGAGTGAAATAAGCTGTACCGGCAAAACCATTTTTATGCCAGCACAACTGTTTCTACACTACAGCTTTGACCAGCATAAAGTCTCTCCCTAATTCCCCCACCCCTCCCAAAAATAAATCATACTCTAACACTGCTATGCTGGCCAAGTTTT